ATTGGAATTCATACTTATCTAGTCATGTTGCTCATAAGTAATTACATCTTATACTTTTTACTAAGTATTTTTGTGTGTTCTTTTTGCATGATTCTTTGCATCATTCATGACATTCATGAGATCTTCTATTGTCATTAATGTTTATATACTTTTGTTTCTTACTTTTCTTTTTATAGAATGAGTATGAAAGACGGTTATCTGAAAGACAGTCACAACAATTATCGGGACATCATGCTGCCTCTAGTGTGCAATCTGAAAATAGTATTTTCTATGATGTTGTTGGTGGTGTGAACAATAAAGGAAGAATATTTGGTTTAGGTTCAGAGGCTAGGAAGTATAAAACTTCTTCTTCTACATTCTTAGATGGTTTCTCAACTCTTGAGTATGAACAAATGAAAAATCTTGTTTCAAATTTGTCTGAAGAAAACAAAACATTGAAAGAACAATTGCAAAGCCATGCAAATTTGATTCGTGCTTCACAAGAAGAGTCTCAGTTGGTTCGTGAGCAACTGAAGCAATTTATGGAGATGTTTTCTCAATCTTCTTGTCCTCCCCAACCTCCTCCTACACATGATGCTAACACTGTACAATCTGATGATAATGAGTTAGATGATGATCATGATATAGATGTTTAGGGATGCATTATCTTTTACTATTATGTTTACTATGCTTTAAACTTATAATTTGTTATGTTTAAGTTTTACTATAGTACTTATCATACATTAGGGATCAGCTACAGTCATAAACTTTGTTATATTCGGTGTTATTTGTATATATGGTATACTTGACTTTCTTATATTCGTGTTTAGTTACATGCTTTTATAGAATTGAGAAAATTTTCCTAATTATTTATTTTGTTAATTTTTCAAACAAATAGACAATAAATTCAACTTTTTTGATTAATTAATAAATTATTTGTTATATTCATAATTAAAAAATTATATCACAATTACAGGAGAAAAACATATGCTTCACGTAAAAAAAAGTTCTTTATAAGATCAATATAAATGACGAATTTCATTTATCATAGTAGTGTATAATAGATTTCGTAGTTTGTGAGGGATTCTAGTCATCACAGTTTGTGATGGATTCTATTCATCACAATTTGTGAGGGATTCTATTCATCACAGTTTGTGAGGGATTCTATTCATCACAATTTGTGATGGATTTTCATCCCTCACAAATTTGTGACGGAGATAGCCCCTCACAAATTGCGATGGACTTAATCCTCACAAATTGTGACGGAGTTAGAGGTCGTCACAAATTGCGACGGATTTTTATTAATTTATAAACAATTATTGTTAGCAATTAGTGACGGAAAATATATTTTCCGTCACTAATGATTTTGTGATGCCAATTTTTGTGACGGAATCAGTTCCGTCACTAATTTATTTTGTGATGGATTTTATAAAATTTAGTGACGAATTTGTTCCCTCTCTAATTTTAATTTTTCTAGTAGTGATAAGAATCAAACGCAGAATCATAGAATTCTCATTACACAAGGGGATCCTATACAAAAGAAAACTTCAACTCGATTTGGCCAATGAAGAAAGCACAAATCTTGGCCTATGAAGGGACTTTCGGGGCAACAACTTTCTCTGTGGTCCATGGGATTGAGGCAGTGTTATCTATAAAGAAGGACCCAATCACGAAGGTCCATATATGAGCTTTCTTAGAAGGGCAATGGTTCTCCCTTAACATAGAAGGCAAAAAGCTTTCTCGCTTGATGAATTCGAATGCATGAAGAAATATTAATTAGCTCCGAAAAACGTCGCTTACAAAAATAATACTCATATATTTTTAAGGGATAAAAATGTAATTTATTCTATATTTTAACAAATAAATAGAGGATAATGCAATACTTATGTGTCTTAGGAGAAAGGGGTGTAAATGGATCAAATTGTATATTTTAACATAAAAAGAAAGAGTAGTGTAATACTCTGATTTCTAAGAGGGATAACGTCATTTACTCAAATATAATATTGATATTGATACTAGGAGATATTTTTCTAATATTTTAACAAGAACAATTTAAGTTGAGAAGATTAAGATATGCAGATTTGCAATCTCAGACCAAGTTATATGTATTAGTACAGAAGAAAATTAGGAATTAAGCATGAGCGGGGATTTGGGATTGAGTTATGTTTATGATGGTAATAGAACATACAGCAGGCGTTTTTCCTCTTATAGAGAAATGAGGAAGGCTCCGATCTATGAACCCATTTGGAGCACGACGACCACCAACTATCAGTTGACCAACACAGGCAACCATTTGACAGATATTCAAGGCAGATCCTTTGGAGACACACTGCGTCATGATCAATGGACTATTTCTCCAGTGAAGGGTTTGCATGCAAACCTGAGAAGATTTTAAAGTCGTTGACATGCAGAAGTTTGTCTGAATCACATAAAGATTACTTCAGCAATAAGAAATGAATACCTTCCCTATCGCACCACGTATTCCACTTAATACATCAGAAATCTCACCCTCCAAAGATTGAGCAGCATCGAAACCAGCTTTGACTTTTAGTTTTCCTTTATTGAATTCTTCTATATGACCAGCACATTTCCCATAACCAACTGAAATTGTTTCATCTTTCCTTCTTATCAGTGTCTCTTTTGGCTGGACATCTTCAATGCCTATCGAGAACCCATGATTGCCTATCCATCGCGCACTACATCCTAGTAAAAAAGATTGTTTTATGAAGCTCCTAAATCCACCCATCCAAATGCAAAATACAATATTACAATGCATAAAGTAACAGCTTCTAACAGAAATTCTACTTTAGCAGCTTTTTTGTTTTTACAAGGTTCCACCCCTCCCTTTGGATGAAACTAGTGCTCACTTTGGGCACTGATGCTACCCTCCGTGCAAGTGCTTTCCCCTGCAAAATCAGTTTGATTTTGTAAAGGAAGATCAGACAGCATAGCTCAAGCTTGCTTTGATCCACCATTCCAAGGTTATTACTTTAAAAGCATAATTTTTAAGATACAGTATTTCTTTAATCTAATTCAAAACATTTTGCACTTAACTGTCATAAGGCAGACATCACTACTATCAACCATAAAGCAGACATATTTACCTCAATTTAGCCAAACGATTCATGCAAGATGCAGCAGCATGTGCTTTATAGTCTCTCAGTAGCACACAGAACAGTCCATCCTTATTGCCAATTTCCTGAAATCATGCAAACCGAAGCAGGTCATCATCATATATAGTTGCAAAAACATGAAGCCATTTAGGGTAAAACTACAGTCTTATAACAAACTAAGCACACGAGGGTGTTAAAAATAAACTAGATCACAAACCCAGACTTTCTTAAAGAATCACTGCAGTAATATTAATGGCTAGTTGATATAAATTATCAGAACTAAGACAATTAGATAATTAGATCTATATTTTTTAGAATTTCTCAATGAAAATCATTCAAAGAAATGTGGGACGCACTAGTCACTCATGTAGGAACAAATGATGTCAAAAGATCTAGGAAACATACTCTTATAAGAGGATATCAATTGCTAAGAATGAATCATGGTGAATCAATTTCTGATTTTTAAAAAAGTTTTACACATTTTATAAATCACCTTATTGATCTTGGCAGGAAATTAGAGGAAGAGGAATTAAACTTGAAAGTTCTACAATGCTTGGATAGGTCTTAGCAAGCAAAAGTTACAACAATTGAAGAATCAAAGGACCTAACCTCATTAACACTTACAACTCTCTTTGGAAAGCTAAGAGAGCATGAGCAAAAGTTGCACATATTTGATGAAAATGAACTACAAGATATAAAGGGAAAAGGAGTATCTATAAAAGCCTTAAAATTACTCAAAGGCAAAGAGAAATGTGAAGATTCAAGCTCTAAAGATTCTGATTTAGAGAATATCAATTTGCTGGTGAAAAAGTTTAGATAATTTCTAAGAAAGAAATACAAGTTCAACAAAAGGGCAACTACGAAAGATGAAGGGAGCACATTGATGGAAACTTGCTTGGAAAACCGGATTGATGTTGATTTCCCTTCAAGCTCCTCCCTAGATCCTTGACTCCTTGATTCTTCCTAAGCCTTGTTAAGGTCTCCAATGGAGGAGGAGACCTTAAAACCACCACGGTTTGGTGGAGAAACACTCCCAAGAGGCGCCACTCCTTGGTGAAGAGATAAGCCACTTCAATCCTCACCACACTCTTCTAAATCAATTATTCTAGAAAGTGTTATCTGGAATAATCGATTATTATATTTTTGATTGATTTCCAGAATTCATGAAGAACAAAATAATTGATTATCCTTAAAAATAATCGATTATCTGAGTCTGAAAACTTTATAAAACTGGTTCTCACATTCAAAAACTAAGAGAGAAGAGAATAATTGATTTTATGAAATCTTTGTGATAAACTTTGGATCTTTGTGATCTTCTTGGATAGTTTTCTTTGTGAAACCAAGAAGTAAAACACTTTGTGAAATGCTTTGAGAAGAATCATCATCATCACTACAATCTTGGAAAGAGGAATTAAGATTGGTCAAGAATTCACAGTCTGATTTGTTAAATTTCCAGGTGAATTCGTTCCTTTAATCTTTTTGTGTATTGTGTTAAAAGTCTTGAATAGGTGTCTCAAGTGGTAAGAAATTCTTGTAGTGGGTTTCTAAAATAAGTGCTTTCTTGGGTGCAAGAAAAGGTCTATCTTATGTGTTGAAGTGTATGCATGTGTGGTATATGCTTGTAAAACTTCTTCATTGAGATAGTGGAACAAATCTTGATCAGGTTATGATTGAGGACTGGATGTAGGTCACATGTGTGGGGTGGCTGAACTAGGATAAAATACTTTGCACTCTTCTCTCATCCTTATCTCTTACATTGAACAATCTTTAATTAAATGTTAAAATATGGCTGGTCTTGATTAATATGATTGTATGATTAAAATGGTTTAAATTGGAACATAAGCACTGCATATTAATTTTTCTTTAAGCTGATTCAATAAAGATTAATCAATAAATCATATAGGAGTCATTTTCATATACTAAGAGGTTCAATATACTTCATTGGAAATTGGGTTTAGAAAAGTTTTAAAGAAATTAAGATCTTTAAACTCTAGTGAATTTTTTAAGTGTCATTAAATCCAATTCAACCTCCCTCTTGGATTGTGCCATTCTTTTTTATCAATTGGTATCTAGAGCAAGGTTCTTGAGTTTTAATCAAGATTTCAAAAATGGCTAATAACAACCTACCTTATGGTGAGGGAGTTTCTATTCATAGACCTTCTATTTTCAATGGAGAGAATTATGTCTATTGGAAAATTAGAATGAGGATTTTCATTGAAGAAATTGACATTGCTATATAGGATGCAATTGAAAATGGACCCTATATTCCTGTGATGAGGAGAGTGATGGGAAGAGAGAAAAACATTGGAGTAAGTGGAGTGATGATGAGAAAAAGAGAGCTCAATATGATTACAAAGCAAAGAACATTATAACATCTGCATTGTCTATTGATGAGTTTTTTTTAGAATTTCTCAATGAAAATCATTCAAAGAAATGTGGGACGCACTAGTCACTCATGTAGGAACAAATGATGTCAAAAGATCTAGGAAACATACTCTTATAAGAGGATATCAATTGCTAAGAATGAATCATGGTGAATCAATTTCTGATTTTTAAAAAAGTTTCTCCATCTTCCAAATGGCGATCAACAATATCACCAATCCTTGATTCATCTGCAGCAAGCGTCCTAAAACGAACTTTCAAGGACCTGCAAATAGCAATAGGCTATAAAATGTTGTAAAATAAATAAGATTGGCTTGAGAGCTGCACAAAGCGGGCAGTGAAATAGTACACACCATGAATGACCTCCATCACGTTTAAGCATCCACGCACCAGGATACTTATCAGGACCATTCCTAACACACTGTCTCAACTTTTCTATGTTCTGATGTGTAACACGCTCAGGATAAGTCAATATACGAGCCATATGAATGGGTACTGCAACCTAGAGCAAATGAGAAAGTTAGGAGACATAAACATGAACCTTGAAAAATGGAGGGAACCTCCTTTTGTTATTGTTTTTATGAGATATATAGTGACAGTAACTAGTCTCTCAATCAAAATACATACAAATATTTATATTTTTCAGGTTGAATGCCTAGTGTGTTATCTAAAGGATAGAAAGTGTACTTATAATAACTGACAAGCTTTGACGCCAAACATCAGTAATCTTCAGATTAGGATCCGGTGAAATAACCGTCCTGCCAGTATATTCAGAACGTTTCCCAGATAAGTTGTTCCGGATACGTCCCTGCTTCCCTTTCATGCGCTGAACAAGACCAGCCAATTGCTTGGCTGATTGCAAAAAGAATGGTATACCACGAACATCACTATTTATAAATTGAGCAACTTGTTATTGAAGCGTATCCCAACCAACCTAAATCAAAATCATCAAAGCATTACCTCATGGAACCAAAAGAAGAAAAAAAAATAGAGCAAATAAATGTGATCAATCCCAAGCAAACATCAAAACAAGCCTCTAGAATGTATACAATTCAAATAAACATTATATTAGGATCAAATTCTAATGTGTAATATTACACAAGACCTAGCCTTGGCATTATATGAGTTCAACCAAATTTTATAAAAATAGAAATTATAATGAATCAACCATGACATGTGGTTCAGTTAGTAAACTCAGGTGCAAGGATTCAAATTCCACTAGAAGCACCTCAAGACCGAGGTAAATGCCTGAGCCCAAAAAGGAATCCATCCCACACACAGGGCATGTAGACCGTTGAGATTCATGAATGGTGAATCAAGTTTTGAGAGTTTTGATGATAATAAAGGACATGAACAAAAGAGAAGACACGAAGATCATGAATGAATACCAAATGTAATAGGAGTAGTTTATGAGTTCTTATGTGTTGAGTTGCTTTGTTGGTCAATTTTATTTTCTATGCATGTTTGTGCTTTGTGCATGAGTTGAATCTTAATTCTAAATTGTCTAAGAGTGAATATGATGATGATTAAAAGTAACTTGGAAAGGATTTGAATGTGTGAAATCGAATTTTAAAAACTAACTCAAAATAATTGATTATTACTAACTATAATCGATTATTTAAGCTTTGTTTTTCAAGAGATTGAGAAACCTTGTTGTAATAATCGATTATCTATGAAATAATCAATTATTCTAGAAAGTGTTATCTGGAATAATCGATTATTATATTTTTGATTGATTTCCAGAATTCATGAAGAACAAAATAATTGATTATCCTTAAAAATAATCGATTATCTGAGTCTGAAAACTTTATAAAACTGGTTCTCACATTCAAAAACTAAGAGAGAAGAGAATAATTGATTTTATGAAATCTTTGTGATAAACTTTGGATCTTTGTGATCTTCTTGGATAGTTTTCTTTGTGAAACCAAGAAGTAAAACACTTTGTGAAATGCTTTGAGAAGAATCATCATCATCACTACAATCTTGGAAAGAGGAATTAAGATTGGTCAAGAATTCACAGTCTGATTTGTTAAATTTCCAGGTGAATTCGTTCCTTTAATCTTTTTGTGTATTGTGTTAAAAGTCTTGAATAGGTGTCTCAAGTGGTAAGAAATTCTTGTAGTGGGTTTCTAAAATAAGTGCTTTCTTGGGTGCAAGAAAAGGTCTATCTTATGTGTTGAAGTGTATGCATGTGTGGTATATGCTTGTAAAACTTCTTCATTGAGATAGTGGAACAAATCTTGATCAGGTTATGATTGAGGACTGGATGTAGGTCACATGTGTGGGGTGGCTGAACTAGGATAAAATACTTTGCACTCTTCTCTCATCCTTATCTCTTACATTGAACAATCTTTAATTAAATGTTAAAATATGGCTGGTCTTGATTAATATGATTGTATGATTAAAATGGTTTAAATTGGAACATAAGCACTGCATATTAATTTTTCTTTAAGCTGATTCAATAAAGATTAATCAATAAATCATATAGGAGTCATTTTCATATACTAAGAGGTTCAATATACTTCATTGGAAATTGGGTTTAGAAAAGTTTTAAAGAAATTAAGATCTTTAAACTCTAGTGAATTTTTTAAGTGTCATTAAATCCAATTCAACCTCCCTCTTGGATTGTGCCATTCTTTTTTATCAATTGGTATCTAGAGCAAGGTTCTTGAGTTTTAATCAAGATTTCAAAAATGGCTAATAACAACCTACCTTA